GCGAGAGGTACAATTCTTGAGGCATATCATCAACCAGGGGGGAATTTCGGTTGATCCAGCCAAGGTTGAGGCTATGATGCGGTGGGAAGTACCGACGAATGCGTCAGAGATTCGTAGCTTCCTAGGTTTAGCAGGTTATTATCCAGTATTTCTCCAAGATTGTGGTGCCACATACCCATCTTACCAAGAAGAATGTGACGTTTCGGTGGGGTATGGATCAGCAATTGGCCTTTGAGACCTTGAGGCGGAGATTGTGCGAGGCTCCGATCCTTGTTCTACTAGAGGGATTAGATGATCTGGTGGTGTAATGTGACGCATCGATTTCAGGGTTAGGTGTGGTACTGATGCAGATAGGACACATGATAGCATATGCCTCGCGACAGTTGAAGCCACATGAGGCAAATTACCCTACCCACGATCTGGAACTAGGGGCAGTAGTGTTTGCCCTCAAGATTTGGAGGCATTACTTGTATGGAGTGCGGTGTACCATTTACCCTGACCACAAGAGTATGAAGTATTTGATAGACCAGCAGAACCTCAACATGCGACAGAGGAGGTGGTTGGATGTGCTGAAGGATTATGACTGTGAGATCCTTTACCATCCAGGGAAGGCCAACGTAGTGGCTGATGCTTTGGGTCGTAAGACGGTAGGTTCACCGATTGGGAATGTGTGTTTGAGAATGACGGTGATCTTTCCATTGCTGGAGATGATCAGAGAGGCTCAGGTTGAGGGTGTGAAGAAAGAGAATTGGAAGGTAGAGAGAATCCGAGGACAATATCCTTTGTTTGTTAAGGATAGTCGTGGTCTTTTGATGTAGTGTGGTCGGGTGTGGATACCGGTGACCGGGAGAGTGAGAAAAAAGATATTAGAGGAAGTGCATAGGTCGAAGTTATATATACATCCAGGAGCTACGAAAATGTATAGGGACCTGAGGCTGAGTTATTGGTGGCCATTCATGAACCGGGAAATTGCTTGGTTTGTAGAGCGATGCTTGACTTGCAGGAAGGTCAAAGCCGAGCATCAGCGGCCTCATGGTAAGGTCCAGCCACTACCCTTTCCCATGTGGAAGTGGCAGGAGATCACGTTGGACTTCATTGCGAAGTTGCCAAGGACGGCGAGAGGTGTGTATGCCATATGGATGATTGTGGATAGACTGACGAAGAATTCCCATTTCGTTCTAATATCAAAAAGTATATCCGCAGAGAAGTTGGTGGATATTTATGTGTGTGAAGTGGTGGCTAGAAAATGGGGTTCCTGTGTCGGTAGTTTTTGATCGTGATGTTCAGTTCACATCCAGGTTCTGGAAGAAATTCCACGAGGAGCTGGGGACTCAACTACATTTTAGCACGGTGTACCACCCCCAGACCGACGGTCAGAGTGAGAGAACGATCCAGATACTGGAGGATATGCAACGGGCATGCGTTTTGGATTTTGGAGGGAGTTAATATACATCTCTCCCACTGGCAGAGTTTTCGTACAACAACAGTTATCATGCGAGTATCGATCGAGCTCCGTTCGAGATGTTATACGGTCGGAGGTGCAGGACCCCAGTTTGTTGGGATGAGGTTGGACACCGGGTCATGGGGAGCACTGAGGTAGTACTCAAGCCTACTGGATTGATTCAGCAGGTGTGCGACCGGTTGTGGGTCGCGCAGAGCCGTCAGAAAAGCTATGCTGACCGACGACGATCAAATCTTGAGTTTCAGGTGGGGGGATTTCGTGTTGCTGAAGGTATCGCCATGGAAAGGGATCTTCAGTTTTTGGAAGAGGGGAAAGCTAGGGCCTCAGTATATAGGCGCGTTCAATATCACGGCCCGGGTGGGCAAGGTGGCATATCGTTTGGATCTGCCAGAGGAGCTTAGCCAGATTCACAACACATTCCATGTGTCGTAACTTCGGAAGTGTGTCACAGACGAGGCTGCAGTTGTCTCGTTGGGTGATATCCAGGTGGATGAGAGCTTGAACTACATCGAGAAGCCCGTTGTCATCTTGGATAGGAAAACGAAGGTTCTTCGGAATAAGGAAGTAAAACTGGTGAAAGTGAAATGGCAACATCGGAAGGGTTCCGAATGGACTTGGGAACTGGAAGAGGAGATGAGAGAACATTACCTCGATTTTTTTGGGTTAGCAAACTTCGAGGACGAAGTCTAGTTCAAGTGGGGGAGACTTGTAACACCTGGTTTGATTTTGAAAGGTTTTAGGCATGGACTCGGCGAGTTGGGAGATCAAATCGTCGAGTAGGGTTGTGGTATCATGGAACGCGGGACGGGACCGAATCAGCGAGTCGAAGGGTCGACTCGGCGAGTCCTATCTATTTAAAGAAAACCCTAAATTTTGGGGTTTTCCCCATATATAAACGACATTATATGCCTTTGTTGCCTCCCTTAGCATCACAAGAGATCGTTTTTGGCCGCAAACAGTTGGGTGTGTGAAGGGAGAGCTTTGGGAGCTTAAAACTTGGGATTGTGGAAGGAATTCCAAGCTTGAAGAAGAAGTATCAATGGGGAAAGCACTAGATCTAGCATCTAGTTCGTCTTGGGCATTGAATTGAGGTATGAATCTGTTACCTTCATCCTAGATTCTATTTGAGGGTTATGACCAACTTTGAGGAAATGGAAGCAAGCTTAGATCCGGACCTATCACAAGGATATGGTTCTAGATCTGCACCTTCCTAGGTCCCAAATATCATAAAGTTGCACCTTTTATTAAGCTCATTCCCTCTCCATGCATGAAAACCTTGTTTGAAGGTTAGTTTTGGTGTTATGGCCATGTGGGGCTTTGCATGCACGTAAAGTTTACAAATTTACCTGTTATCCGCACTAGGAGAGTTTGGATCTGAAGTTTGAAACCTTAAATCCCACTTGAAAGAACTGAATACATGAGAACCCTTCGAGTCCCTCTGGTGACTGTGCGAGTCGAGAGGGTTCTCTCATTCACGGCCAAGGGTTCACGGTCATGGGTGTGCGATTGCTAGTTTACAGCCGTGAACATCAAGGAACTTGACGAGTCCCTCGGGTGACTCGGCGAGTCGATGAGTAAGCAGGGAACCCGAAGAGTGACTGATTGTACTCGACGAGTCAAGGTCAATATAGACTGTTGACCTTAACTACAGACCTGGACTTTGACCAGGTTTGAATTAGAGGAGCCTTAGGGGCAGAGTTAAGATTATTTATTTGTTGGTTATAGGCAGTTTGGGAGGAGCAGCGTAGGTCATACCTAAATTCAGTTGCCGATTTAGCTTTGTGAGGTGAGTTTTCTCACCATACCAATGGGTCTAAGGCACCAAGGCCAGCCCATTTAATGTTAGTAGGTTTACTTGCTATGTAGAGGTGCGGTATGTATGTATGCATGATATGCGGTAGAGATAGCCTTTGTGGCTAAAGGTAGAGATATCCTTATGGCTAATGGTAGAGACGGCCTTATGGCTAAAGGTAGAGACAACCTTTATGGCTGATGGTAGAGATAGCCTTATGGCTAACGGTAGAGATAGCTTCATAGTTAATTGACGTGTGATAGTGGTAGCGATAGGTTTTATAGATAATCTGATATGTTGTTTGTGTGGGGTATGCTCTGGGGGACTCACTAAGCTTTCAGCTTACTGTTTGTGGATTTATTTCAGGTATATCGGAGCCCAAGGGCAAGGGCAAGGCGTGATGATGCGGTGTGCACTCCATATCTCTTTTCCGATATGGTTTGTAGGATACTCTGATGTTTGAAAATAATAATGTTGTAATGTTGGTGGTTTTGAAAACAATTATTGGATTTTCTTGTTTTATGAAATATGGTTGACTAATTAAAAATGAAAAATTTCTTTGTAAAATTTGGGTCGTTACACTTTGGGCACTTTTACGACATCACTAGTTGGATATAGCTTAGTGAATTATATCTCAATAAAAATATTTGTTCCATAGGACGCTAGTAGGAATCGCACTCATCAACATCAAACCGCGAAGCCCGAGCCACAAACTTTCCATTGTGAGTATTCACAGCCCCTATTTTACGTTTTAATGTTTTGGGGTGGAAAGCATGCGACAATTTCTATGATCGTTATTTTATGAGCTTGTGTTATGAACTTAATGATGTGAACTTTGTTGTATGAACCTTTTATTATGAACTTGTATGTTAAGTCCCCGGAGAACCAATACAACCTATTAACTCATATTTGAGCCGATGGTCTTATGGATAGCGCTATTTGGGGTCGATAGCTCCCACTCGCCCGGAACCGCGAGTGCATATTTCCATGAACTGACATCATGGGCACCATGAACATGATGGAATGAGGCAGGAACGGTCGTTAGGCTTGGTTGTGAACGGAATGCAATGGCATTCATCGTTTTCTAAATTGGAACATTTATAGAATAAACTACATTTTTGAAATAATGTACTATTATAAACCTGTGAACTCACCAACTATTTTCTAGTTGACCCTCATTTTTGCATGCATTTCAGGGAACGGTTAGGTAATCAATAAGACGCCAACATGATTTAAGTTGTTACTTTTGATATGTATTAAACTATGTATTGTGAAAACTAAATGTATTTGTTTTGTACGCGATGTAAACTTAAAACGCTTAATGTTTATGGTTGGTACCTCTATTTACCTTTGTGATGAGACCTTAGCCTATCACTCTTCGTGTTTCCGCTTTAACAGGGTGTGACAGATTTGGTATCAGAGCCTAAGGCTATAGAGAATAACCGCTTCCCCTTTCCCTTAGGGAGGCCTAAACTATAAATGTTGAGTTAATAAAACATGCCATTTAGTATAACTAATTTCGGTAATGCAGTACTGGACCTTAATTATACATAGCCTGATCACCTATGTATAATTAAATAAGAGCAATTGCAAGACCAGAATTGGTTATAGTGAATGGTATAACACCCTAGGTTAAACGTAAACAAAAAAAATCACTAGGATGCTAAAACCTCTTCTAAACATTAGAGTTTCTCGTGTACAGCATAGCCATGTCAAACACTAGTTCTCAAGCACTTGGATCGGCAGATGAGTCTGGTTACGTCACTGCGCGCCCGCAAGTCAACCGCGACTCGAGCACCGACCCGACCAAAGATTCGTCAACATGATCAGAGACTGGAGAGGAAGTGAGCAGCAAGGCACCGACTGAGGAGACTTCAGCCCCATCGATACCCGAGCCTTTGTGACAGTCGACACCTCAACCACCCCTTTATGGACTACACCATAGGAGGACATCGAGAAAGAGCACACCAATGCCGAGAGAAGTATTGAGGTTCGAGCGTCCAGAACCCGTGCCAGCACCTCCCGCACCAAGGAACGAGCGTCCTGAACCCAGTCAACCTCGACCCACAGTCATAGGGATGCCTTATATGCGAGCACCCGGGATGACTTGTCAGGAGCGACGCATCATGGAGGCCATGACCTCAGACCTGCATGATGCCCTTAGTAGGATTGCTTAGCATCATCACAACATTGCCGACATGTCAAGCATGGTGGATGCGGTGTGTGGTTATGCATCCTCCGCCCAGAGGACTGCAATCAGAGCTATGATCACTAGCGCTGTCGCCGATGGGCTAGCATTGATTTTGACAGTGGCACTTCTCTGGGTGACTGTGTTTTGGGGTTGAATCTAAACGTCTTGGTTTACGTTTTATGGTTTTTGGTCTATGTATTTTGATGTAATGCCTTTGGTTGATGGCTTTTGAGAACTATGGTTGAAGTGTCTTTTGTAGCTTGGAGTGTCAAGCAATATGCTTTGTAAAACCTTTTATTTACGAACTACGAATGAAATATATTTTAATGATTTTCAATCACCATGTTATTTCACACTTATATTGTTCATGAACTGTAAATTGTTTTGATGATTTGAAATCTTTCTTGAAAATATATTTTATTATTATTATTATTATTATTATTATTTCTATCAAAAAGAACTAATTAATAGTAATGATAACGTCCTTAATTTTGTTTGTGTGTTATAGAACCATGCCCCAAAGAAGAAACACTCACACCCAACACTGCTTAAGAATGCCACTCCCGATATTGCTCAACTGGTCTCGCAACAACTAATTGCTGCTATCCCTAACAATGTGGCTCAAGTCACTGCGGGAATCAATGCTAGTCAGACAAACCGTGGAGGCCCTACGCCTACTGAGAACACCGACGGAAGCGGAGTTCGTAATGAGGAATCATGGGGATGCACCTATAAGTACTTCATGACTTGCAAACCCAAGGAGCTTCATGGAACAGAGGGTGCAGTGGGATTATTGAAATGGATAGAAGGAATTGAGGTTTTACTCCACATCAACAAGTGCTCAAATGACTGCAAGGTTCCCTATGTTGCATGTTTTCTCCAAGACAGAGCCTTAACGTGGTGGAATGCGCAACTCCGAAACCGTGGAAGGGAGTCAACAACCCAATTAGCTTGGGAGGAATTAAAAGAGTTACTCAAGAAGGAATATTGTCGTAAGGATGTGATCCATAAAATGGAATCTAACTTCTGGAACCATGCCATGGTAGGAGCCGATGTGGAAGGCTACACTGTGCGTTTCCACGAACTCGCTGAACTAGTGCCACACATGGTCACCCCCGAGAGCAAGAGGATTGACCGATACATATGGGGTTTAGCACCAGAAATTTGAGGTATGGTTACTTCAGCAAATCCTACCTCCATCCATAGCGTTATAGAGTTGGTGCACCGCCTTACGAATGATAAAGTGAGGGTCGGGATACTGATCATAAGCAACGCAAGTAACAAAAGAAAATCGGAGAACCAGTTGCGAAGGAAGAAGAATGACAACTCAGACAAGAACAAAAAAAGGGCAAGGAACTTTGGGGTTAAAACAGAAGAACATGTGCAATACCGAGGGCCTAAACCTAAGTGTGAGAGATGCAGCTATCATCATGAGGGTTCCTGCCCTATCTGCCATAAGTGCAATTGAATAGGACATTTCGAAAAATATTGCAGGATAGACAAAGATCACAAGGATGGTAAACGGGCATGCTATGAGTGTGGAAGTGTGGACCACTTTAGGAATGCCTGCCCGAATCTAAATAAGGGCCCCAACAACAATAATACCAGGAACTAGGTGAGACATATAAACCGTGGAAATCCAGGAGGCCAGGCTCGTGGGCGAGCATTTGTGATTAAGTCGGAAGAGGCCCGCCAGGACCCGGAAGTGGTAATAGGTACATTCCTCCTAAACAACCACTATGGATAAGTATTATTTGAATCTGGGGCAGATAGAAGTTTTGTGTCACATGAATTTAGACCCTTAATCGACTTGAAATCAAAAATATTGGAACATGCCTACGTAGTTGAAGTTGCTAACGGTCATGAAATTAAGGCTGTGGAGATAGTTCCTAATTGTACCTTGAACTTAGCTGATAAACTTTTTAGTATTGACCTTATACCCATTGAACTGGGTAGCTTTAACGTAGTGATTGGAATGAACTGGTTGTCCAAGAATCGAGTAGACATAGGATGCTTTGAGAAAGTTATCAAAATACCCCTCCAAAACAACGAAACCCTTCTAGTGTATGAAGAGAAACCAGGCAAAAACTTGAAGATAGTCTCATGCATGAAGATTCACAAATATCTGAGGAAGAAGTACCTTGCGTTCTTCACTCAGGTAGTAGAGAAGAATTCAAAAGAAAAACATATTCAGGACGTTCCAATAATACGAGAATACCCCGAAGTATTCCCAAAAGTGTTGCCCGGGCTCCCCCCAACAAGACAAGTCGAATTCAGAATTGATCTAATTCCTGGAGCGGCACCTGTTGCTAAAGCACCTTACTGCTTGGCACCTTCTGAAATGCAAGAACTTTCGGGACACCTTTAGGAACTTTTGGAAAAAGGATTCATTCGTCCAAGTTCCTCACCGTGGGGCGCATCGGTCTTATTTGTGAAAAAGAAGGATGGATCGATGAGAATGTGCATCGATTATTGAGAACTAAACAAAATGACTATCAAAAACAGATGTCCCCTTCCTCGAATAAAAGATTTGTTCGATCAACTCCAGGGTGCCTCGTACTTTTCAAAGATTGATCTACGATCGGGATACCACCAATTAAGGGTACGCGACGAAGATGTTCCTAAAACCCCCTTCGGGACTCGTTACAGACACTATGAATTCCTAGTTATGCCTTTTGGGCTAACTAACGCGCAAGCTGCCTTCATGGATCTTATGAATAGGATTTGCAGGCGGTACCTTGACAAGTTTGTGATCGTGTTCATTGAAGACATACTAGTCTATTCTCCAAACAAAGAAGAGCATGAACGACATCTTAGGCAAGTGTTAGAACTGTTAAAAGACCATAAATTATTTGCAAAGTTCTCTAAGTGCCAATTTTGGATTAGGGAAGTGCGATTCCTTGTTCATGTGGTTGGAGAAAAAGGAATACATGTGGATCCCACCAAAGGTGAAGCAATTAAGAAATGGGAAACCCCAAGATCCCCGATGGAAATTCGGCTATTTCTGGGATTGGCGGGCTATTATAGGCACTTTATTGAGAACTTCTCCAAAATTTCCCAACCATTGACTATTTTGACCCAAAAGGATAGGAAATTTGTATGGGGAGAACCACAGGAAGATGTGTAACAACCATAAATTTTACGCCAAATTTAAACTTTTTCAATCATAAATAAAACCCCAATAGTATTGTTTACAAAATGTTTTCAAATCATTATTCAATCAGAGTGTCCCAAAAGTCAGATCATAAGGATGAGGAGCGGTACGGCCACGCCTTCGCCTTGCCATGATCTCCCGAAGTACCTGAAATAATAACTGTAAACTGTAAGCCCGAGGGCTTAGTGAGCTACCCCCAAAATACCAATACCATACTGATAATATCATATCAGTAATAATCAATCAATCAATATCCATACTGGGCCATCGGCCTAACTGGACCGCCCTACAGGGACTACAGTCTAACTAAATCTATACCGAGCCTTCGTCATGACTGGGCCGCCACGTGGGCTTACAGTCTCCCCGGACCGCTCATAGGATATGTTGGCCTTTAGCACAAAGCAGGACCGCCTCAACCCAACCAACAAACAAGTAATCATGTGCGCATAACTAACATATACTAGCATATACAGACATCAAATATATTTATCTTACGGATCAACAGTCATAGCAATATCTCATGACTAGAGCACAGGCCCAACAGGCCACTAACATACTAATCCCTAAGGATCACAAAACATAACATATTGTCTACCCTCATTTCGATCTATCTGATCATAATCGCATATATCATATCATAACCATAACAACTACAGGGCCGACCTTGGTGCCTTAGACCCTTTTTGATATAGTGAGGATAACTCACCTCGCAGATGTCAACTCGGTAGATAAATCCCAACTCTCATATCACTTTCCAATGACTCCACTACCTATTACCATAGTACGAATATACTCATAAGTCCTCAACCTCACAAGGTACTCCATAAACCAGCTAGACAACCCCTGATCAAAGTTAAAGTCCTCAGTCAAGGTCAATAGTCCATGTTGACCTTAACTCGCCGAGTACCCTCGGTTACTTGCCGATTCCCTTGAAGTTCTTTCCCACTCGCCGAGTCACCGGGATGACTCGTCGAGTTCCTATGATTTTCGATCGAAAACCTAAGACCACCCGTCGAGTTTCCTTCTGGAAACACGACGAATACACATGCATTCATAACTTAGGGAAAACTCATCCGACTCGCCAAGTTGTTCATACAACTCGTCGAGTCTATGGCAATCTTCATCGGACTCGCCGAGTTGTTCCTCCAACTCGTCGAGTTCATGGCCATCTTCATGTGACTCGCCGAGTCAACCTTGCGACTTGGCGAGTTCCTTCAGTCCTTAAGCCATACAGACTCATTTAAGCCATGCAATGGATCCAAATTACAGATCCAAGCTTCTAGGGCATGCTTTTCACGTAAAGTTGCAGACTTTACGTGCATACATGACTGAAAACGCTCTTAATGCCAAATCTAAGCTCCTAATCGGGTTTCATGCACAAGGAGGGCCTCATCCACAACCAAAACAGAAACTTTATGATTCTAGAACTTGAGAAGGATCCAGATCTGAAGTTACAACTTCAGATCTAGCCCATAGCTCACCAATTTGACTCCAAAAATCCATAAAACCCTAAGACTCAACCACAAAGAGATCTAGAAGAAAAGGGGAGTAAAGATTGCAACTTGATACCTCCAAAAGATGCTAGGTGAGGTAAGTTCTGTTTCCCACACCTTCCTTGCTTCAACCCCTTTGCTCTTCAAGCTTTTCCCTCCTAGCCAACCTTCTTTCCAAGGCTGCGAATCGGGGCGTTACATTTCTCCCCCGCTTGAACTAGACTTCGCCCTAGAAGTCCCTTGAAATAAACAATGTCGGGTAATGCTCGTGCATCTCCGCCTCCAGCTCCCATGTCCACTCGGATCCCCTCCGATGTTCCCACTGCACCTTCACCAAAG